GGGCACTAATGGCTGACTCATGTACACGTACAGCAGACACAATGTCTAGAGCTTCTCTTTTAGGGTAAATGTGTAGATGATGGGAATGCTACCGAATATAGAGATGGAAAAGGAGTTAAGGAAGGGAAGGGGATCTCACTGTCAACTCTGCTGAGAAATAAGGTAAAAGTGAGAACTGCGACAGCGGGAGGTAGACAGACATGGAGCAGATTAGAACCTACGTACAGGAAGCCCTTGTGGGCAGGAGCATGGAAGCCCCTGGGGCGTGGGCACGGGCACATGAGCGTCCAATGGGGGCCGCGATGGCAGCCGTGCCCCGCGTGGTCTGCACCGGCTGCTCTATATGTCAGCGCGGCGCTTCCCTCAAAATCACTCAAACACAGAGCTCTGCCACCACCTGGGACAGGGAAAGCAAGACACTTATGGACACACACAACCGTACAGTTCAACCACTGCTGCCTGTTCATGGGAGGGGAGTTGGCTATGAGTCGGAAAGGCTCGAGAGCTGGTTTCAGGGATGACTTACTGACTGGAATACTTTCTTTGTTGTGCCATAAGGGCTTTCACACACAAGCCAGCATGACAGCTACATACAATACACTACTGTTCAAAAGTTTGAAGTCAGTAAGTTCATTTTAACACAATTTAAAATATACATTTTCTTTTTGAATATATTTTGAAATAATTTAATTTAATCCTGTGATGGCAAAGCTGAAATTCCAGCAGCTATAACTCCAGATTTCAGCATCACATGATCCTTCAGAAATTATTCTAATATGCTATTTTGGTGCTCATGAAACATTTATTATGAATGCTGAAATCAACTGTGCTGATTCTTTAACAAATAGAACAAACAGCATTTGAAACTGAAATATTTTGTAAGAAATGTCTTATCTGTCACTTTTTTTTAATCCAATGTGTCCTTGTTTTTTTTTTTTTTTAAAGAAAAGTATAGGCTACTTTTTGATCTTACTGACCCCAAACGTTCTTGATACCAGTTTTGATATCAGATTTAATACCACTATGTGTGTGGGAAAGATCCTAGGGACATCATGTTTTATTCAAATTATATTTATGAAAAGATATTGTCTATTATTGAAGTCTCTTAAAATGTTATTAATAGTAATATCAAGAACAGCTTTATGGGTGAAGAAGATTCATAAGCTATTTGCATTTCTATATACATGCGCATAATAACCAGGCACTCATTTGTATGAACAATAAAGCAAAAACCAAAACTACAGGCAGGGTTTATAGAAGCAGATTATGGCACTGAGCATTATGATGATATATAAAGATTTATTTAGCACTCATTGATTGGTCATAGCAGAACTACTAACAGTGAGAAACACACCAAACAGGTAATAAAGAGCAAGAAAGAACTGCAAAACGTACCGCTTTGCCTGCACCTACGGAACAAAGGACTGATGAATCCGGTGAGAATGCGCTGCAGTATACCCAGTTTTGATGGCCACGGAGTACTTTCACCATGTTACCTATTAAGACAAAGAATTTAGATTGCTTAATGTATAGTAATACTTTTAGTTTGTTTTCTGTTATAACATTTATAGTTGGTTATTAAATTTCCTAAAATTCAAAGTAGAATTATGTTACAATTTACGATAAACATTATGCAAACAGTTCACAATAAAAAAGACTTTTCCCAATACAATATTTAACCTTTGAAAGCAATGTTGATGCCTTAGAACAACAAAATAAATATACTTTAGGCAGTAGCTAAATTTCACATTCCAATGGTGTCCACTTTGAGACTGGGGACAATTTAGCTGAACTCTGGCCAACTTATATTCATGATTAGTCTAAAAAAAATAAAAAACCTGTTTGCAAATACAGTAAACTCCATTTTATCTTCAAATTCCCAGCATATAAATAAGATTCATGTGATCTTATTAAAACAGCAAGCCTATCCCAGGATCTTGCAAGAAAAGGAGAAAATATCAGCAAACATTCTTTCGGACTTGGCATCCAATTATTTTCCAACTATTTCCCCCCCCGTCAAACGCCCAAATCTCTGAGTGGGTGTGCATGTGCATGCTTGAGCGAGTGTGTGTGTGTTGAACTCCATGGAGATGAAATGAAAATAAATGGGCTGCAAAAAACAAAGCAGGCTCCTGTGAAGGAAACGTCCACTCCAGAGACTTTTCAGCTTGGGGTTACACAATATTTAGCTCTAGCATGTTAATATTAATATGTAAAGCTAACAGTAGTGGTACCAAATACAAAATCAACATTTGGTCCTCACCGTCATCTTTGAGGTCCCATACGCGTAGAGTCTTGTCTCTTGAGGCAGAAACCAGCACTAAACTCCCATCTGGGGCAAACGTTAGGTCTCGCACAATGTCTGTGTGGTCCATCAGGTTCAGCAAAAGTTTTCCTGTACAGAGGAAAACAAAATTGACGACAAAGGTAGAAAAAAAAGCCTTCAGCAAAATCATTCCAGATAAACCACTGTTTATACCACAAAGTCCACGTTAATCGATGCAAACTGCGTCAATGTTGCATCAGTATCAACATCTTGTCACTGTATCTTGGGAGCTGCATTTAACACAGTTTACTTTAGAAACTTTTTTGACTTCTTAGGAATCAAAGAGAGGAAGATTAAGGTTCCAATAAGTTTAATACTTATTAAAGCAGATGTCAAAAAGGGACTTCCCAAGGCGTTTCAGAAAAACAGAGCAGTTATACATCTAAGCCCTTTCTTTATGAAAGGTGCTGAATTGCCTAGAGGCATATGGAAGCACAATCACTGACACCTGCCAGGCTAATCCGCATTAAATCCCTATAATTAGCTGCATCTACAGTGACAAAACAAAAATCTTTAACATACGTTTCTAAAATTTGATTGAGGCTTAGTAACAGGGCCTATTTGTATCCTGTCAAGCATGAAAACATACATTCACTTAGCATGTGCATGGCGCAAATCCTGTCGAGATACTGTACAATACACTGCTATCAGATTTCCAGAATGTTTTCAGAAGGGAGAAAAATAAAGGCAGCTGGAGGAGGAGTCTCACACCCTGAAGAGAGCAAGTCTGCTGGGTTAATTTATTGCATTGCAGTTTTAGTTAGAAGGGAGGTGGAGTCATCCACTGAAGAAAACATCTCTTACCCCTCAGAACAGCCAATGGCAGTGTCTTTACAGGACCTGCCCACCAATTAATATATTTTACAGCTGGGCAAAAATGAATTATATAACTTGGAAGAGTCACTATTTTTTCTGCAGTCAACAACCACCTCTCTGTTTCGCAAAAACAGCGATTCGTTCTCTGATAGCAGATTTACGCATGCTGTTATGACCATTAAAATGTGAAACTTGAACAGAGACACAGAAGCAGAACTTAAGTGGCCAAGAAACCAATGGCAAAGTGGTACAAAGGTTCATAAAGTGGAGAAATGTATTGTGCAAGGGAGAGTGTACTTGTAAGGTTGAGTAAATATGTAATAAAAATAATTTAGCACTGACTGATGACTGCATAAAAATGCTAAAACTCAATAGGTGTATACAGGACATACATTTGTAAAATATGAAGAATGTATGATTAAGTGATAGAAATGGGTCAAAATGACAAAAAGGTAGATCATGTCAACATCTTATATAACCACCACCTCCCCTCTCTCTTACACACACATGCGAGCGCACACGCATCCGTTGAGAAATAGAAAAACAGGAAGCTGGCATGCGGAAGTGTTGAGAGAAGATGGCATGGGTGGACTGTGACTTTTAAAACACATTTACTCTAGTGCGGAATCATCAGAAAAAAAATGATTACTTGATTCAGCGAGAGGACCCTCACCTGTATAGACGTCCCAGATTTTGATGCGGCCATTGTTGAGGCCCGTGGCCAGCAGCAGCTGGTCCTGGCCGAACTTGAACCTGTGCCATTCGATATTAACGCAGCGACTCTGTTTTTCAGGAACAGAAGAGCCAAAGGCCAGGCCCCAAACGATGTCACCGCAGTCGATGGTGTGCTCTCTAGGCTCGCCTGGCAGCAGACTGCCCTCACTGTTCTGCCGGGACAGTCGTCGAGAACCTGCACCGCTTGACCGATCTTCCTTTCTTACAGAACTAGGGCGAGGGAAAGAGAAAAAATTATTGTGTTGTGTTGGTATGAGAATCATGTCTGTGCTTCGTGGAAAACAGATAACAAATTCTCTTAAAGGGGTCATATGATGCGATTTCAAGTTTTCCTTTCTCTTTAGAGTGTTACAAGCGAATTGTACACAAAATAATGATCTTTAAAAAAGCATCATATGACCCCTTTAAAGTTGATAAACTGTCAACAGCAAGAGGACATTTAATTTTTTTTTGAATGTTATCTAGCACGTCTGTTGAAATAAGCTGCACAATTTAACTCTAAGGAATATCTGAACACCGAGTAAACTCCCAGCCTTAGAGATTACTTAAGTGTTGCATCAACTTGGACCCATTTAACATCACTTGGCCAGTTCCTGAAGCTCATCAAATAAGGTTCTGGAATCATTACAAGAGGTTATTGCATGAATACAGAGCAGGCGCTGCAGAACTGAAACAGCCTGCCACGTGTCAGCTGAAGCTTTTAATGGCACAGTGGCTTCTGCTTGAGCATTAAAGGAATAGTAAAGAAAAAGACGTAAGTCTTTTGTAGCCTTCAAAACACAAATGAAGATATTTTTAACTAAAACTTTGATGCTTCAAAAAGTTCATAAAGAGACTGTAAAAGTAATCAATATGAATAGAGCATTTAAATCCAGGGTTAAATTTGAGTTTTAAAGATGAATAAGTCTTATGGTTCTGGAACAACATGAGGTTGATAAAGTGATGACAATTTTTAATTTATTTAAATTTAAATTTAATATTTTTTTAATTAATTTAAAAAGAATAAAGACTCAAATAACCTGTATAAAATTGTGCCTCTGATTTTAGAGCCACTGAAATACTATCACAGCTAATTGTTCTAGTTTTTATTAAAATTTTAGTAATGTTGCTGTGTTTTGTCACTTTTATTAGTTGTTTTTAATGTCTTTATTGTTAATAACTTTTATTTCACTTTTAGTGTGTCATTTTATGGTATCAACAAACTTTTTTAATGTTTTTAGTTAACTATAACTACTCTGGTTAAGGAACTGCAAAAGTATTTTTCCCAATTATTTTAGTTCAATTGTGAACCTAAACTTAAAATTTAACTACCAAATGATGTCCTTTGGTGTGTACAACTACTAATAAAGTTACTACACTTCAATGTAGAATGACTAAAAATAGTTTTACAATACCATGGTTCTCTTTTATGGACATGTAGAAACTGTTTGTTTACTTCGAACTATCATAAATTCTGTTAAAGTTCTACTTTAAATTTTCAAGTTGTCTGCATGGTTTATGTTGCAATGATATTTCTAGTATTTTTATGAAGAACACTAGCATAAGCATGTCAATAAATCCTGCACTGAAAGCACAAGATAATTACTTAACATTTTATATAATGACTACCAAAGTAGTTGTTGGGTGGATCATTTTGTACCCAACTTTTGAGACCTACTGCATTTAACACTGGCAAAGAGCCCAAAAAGTTGCTCAGTTGGAGGCATGCAGCCAAAGGGCAATGATGTGAACCTCATAATGAGGACTCTGCATTCAGTACTGTACAATAGCTGCTTGGCAGGGCTGTGCGCTCAACGGCGGTCTCTCTATCCCAGGGGTGCCCAAACTCGGTCCTGGAGGGCCGGTGTCCTGCAGAGTTTAGCTCCAACTTGCCTCAACACACCTGCTGGGAAGTTTCTAGTATGCCTAGTAAGAGCTTGATTAGCTGGTTCAGGTGTGTCTAATTGGGGTTGGATCTAAACTCTGCAGGACATCAGCCCTCCAGGACCGAGTTTGGGCACCCCTGCTCTATCCACAGGGTAAGGTGAGATGATGACTGCTGATCTATGCCATGCCGCTAAACAAGCCCAAACACTGGGCACCACTGTGGCGTAGCCACCATGTGAAAGCCCAGAGGGCCAAACCAGACAACCAGCACACACGCAGACTGCCTTTGTCAGTCCATCAACACACAAGCTGTATTGTAACAATTCATCACAGTGAGAAACAAAGAGATAAGTGTGTATACTCACAAGCTGGCTAAGCATTTTTTCCATGGTACAAGTCTCACAATTCGATGCCCTTGAGACCAAGCGAAGTAGGAACCATCAGGTGCAAAAGCTACAGTCCAAGTCTCCCGTCCAGACTTCTGGTCAAAGGGAGCAACAGGAGGTATGAGTTCCCCGATGAACTTAGCTTTACCTGTTACAACAGAAAGCACATGTTTAAGCCTTTAAAGCATTTTATAAAACCAAACTTGTTGGCAAACTACTTTTTGTTACTGTTTTACAACAAACATGCATTTTTGCCTTCATAGCTGTCATTGAGTTACATTTTAACTATATTTCCATCTACTTTTGCAAATCAAAAAATAAATTTAAATTGATAGTTCACCCAAAAATTACAATTTGGTTATCATTTACTCACCATCACGGCGTTTCAAACTTGTATGACTTACTTTCCTTGCAGAACACAAAAGATGATATTTTGAAGAATGTTGGTTACCAAACAGTTTTGGTTACCATTGATTTCTATTGCATGGACAAAAAAACCTGAGACACTTCCCAAAATGTCTTTATGTTCCACAGAAGAAACAAAGCCAATTTAAATTACATTTAATTTTGGGGTGAACAATCCTTTAAAATTATTAACGTTTTTTTTTTTTTTTTTAATGTGACTTTTTATGCAAATAATTTTGAAAATGTTGTGGAGCATCTAATTTTGTGTTAATAGCACTTTTGTTTAGTAAACAGCAGGCAATCCAAGAGTTTTAAAATGGACTAGAAGCTATTAATTAGATAGGTACTTAATACAATAGTTAATATGTGACAGTTGGAATGTATATAATATTACACACTAGTAAATAGTTGTCTGTAAAATGTCTGTAGAATTCATTGACAAAAACGAGCCATTCTGAACAGAAACAATACTTGTCACTAACCGGTTAATGACTAGTAGCAGCTAGCACCTCACCAGTGACTAACTAAATAGTTACTAATCACTATATGAATACGTCGTCCTGGATATTAAAATTTCAAAACAAAACAAAACTTTTTTTCCTTCAACAAATGTAAAGTGTATATAATTAACACAAGGCATAACTGTGTAACGTGTAGCTGAGATGGTGAATCACTGGTGTGGTGCGAGTAATTCACGGGGGTCTGGAGAAACTGCTGCTGACGGTGGGGGAGGGTGGATGGGGCGCAATAATTATAGCACTGGCAATAACTATGAAATATTAAAATAACTGTCAATATTTAAACGTCATATTTTAACTGACATAACGTTACACGGCGTACGCATTTGTTTGAGTTCAATCTGCGTCTAAGCGATAATTGTCCTAATATGGCTGAAACAAACACGACACAGACACTGAAATTATGAGTACGTTAACTTAAGCCACATAAAGTTAAATCCATAGCTGCACAAATGTAAACACTAATTATATAGGTTAATACACACGTTTAAAACGGAACTAAACAGTAAGACCCCCCATGCAAAACAGTGACGAGAAATGGAGAAACTCACCTATTTCATTTTCGTTGACAAAATCTGGGAAGCTTGCCATCTAAATCGAAGCGAGTCTCTTAAATCTGAATGTTCTTGGTTAACGAAATGCAGGCGTTCAAATGAATGCGCTAAACAAACGGAAAAGGCTGTATGCGCGTGTATCCTGTGAGTCTAATGCCTGGGAATGCGGAGCGTCGACGCAACGCTGACTATATTTACATATACGACTGTTTGAAAAACAGACAAAAGTACAGTCTTTAAAGTTCAAATTTAGTTTAATAAAACTGAAATTTAAACAAAGAAAATGAGGCAGTAATAGTCTAGTTCCTCTAATCGCGTTGCGTACGATTTGAATACAGCGTATTGTAATGGCTGCGTGCCTCCTAACGATTCGAACACACACTGATCATGGGCGGGATACTCTAGCGACGTCATAACAGTTGCCGGGGCGATGGAGGAGCACCGATTTCTGATTCGCGGAAATCCGTTTATGCGTGGCCTCTGATTGGCTGTTCGCTCGAGAATATGAATGTAATAGATTCGTGGAACACGTGCTGATAAGGAAAAGCAACACAATATCGAATTCAGTGATGAAATTGCTTGAAAGGTGTCAGGAATTTAATGTAAAATGTATTTCGTTTTATTTTTGGTCTCTTGTGTCTATTAATGATTCATGTCGTGATATGTTCCATTGCAGTTTTAGAGAACAAAGAAAGTTTAGTTGCAATGTTTAAATATCAAAGATTTGTAGTTCAGAAACTCCTGTTGAAAATGATCTGTAAAGTTACGATGAAAATGTAGATGTATTCAAGTTTATTTTAATAACTGTATTCTTATTCAGAACTAGACCTATAAAATCCGAATATTAATCACTGATTAATGTAGGCTACCAATTGTTTAACTTGGTAGGCATTTAATTATTTGAAGAATACATAAACAAAATATATCTGTTATTTTTTATTGACAGGGTTGCACATAAATAGGGCTGTTTTTATTATAATACATCCATACATGTATATTATTTTATTATATCGTAAAAATGCTAAATTGTTCATTCATACTGACATGACCATGCTGGCCATGAAAAGAGGTAAACCTGGAGAAAGTGAGAATACTTTTCTATAACTGTGATGAACCTTTCAAACAAAATGGGTAACAAAAAAATATTCAAACAGCTCAAGCTGTTCTACTGCATTGAGCAACCAAGCAAGAAGGCCATCTGTCAGAAAAGCTACCAAGAGACAAGTGAGTTTTACAAAGTACTTGGCCAGATATTAGTCTCTTTGGCATTTCACAGCTTAGACCTCTTTAGAAGAGTGGGCTGAAACTAGCTACACCTAAGCAGAGCCAAGTCCAGCCCCATTCCTGTGGTTTGCTAGAGGACATTTGACAACCTGAAACATTTTGAAATAAAAAGTGGTCTGATAAGACTAAACTGTAGGTATATGGCCTCAAAGAAAAGACACAAACTTACATTTGTGCAATCCATAAAGTCAAAATAGTTACATGTTTTTTTTCATAATCAGAACTTGAAAATATGTATTTTCAAGTAAAATATGGCAGAATAGATGGAGCCAAAAGCAGGTGGTTCCTGTAAAACCTGCTGCAAAAAGCAGAAAAAAAGTCCCCAAAGCACACAGCAAAACTGTAGGAATCGTTCAGAAGAATTATTGGTATTCTTGGGGAAGCATAATCTGAGTGTCATGGTGAAGTGATGTGCGAAATATTTACTTGGAGGGGGTGACATAAATGTTAGACAATTTGTGTGCTGAATTTATTGCTGTGGGAGGAGGGTAAGATTGATTTTGATTAGTTAGTTTTTGATTTTGCAATACGACTCTCAAAGCCATGTTGTGAATATAGTTAAAAGTTGGCATGACACACAATAGAAAGAGAGAGACTGTATTCACAAGCAGCACAGCCTTGAGTGGCTTATTGCTTTTATACAAATCTTCTGCTAGTAGATGCTATGGTTTCATTTCTATCAATGATATGACATACATGTGCCAGAACATTCTGTTAGCACAGTTCTGATAAAACATGATGAATGTCTCTGTCTGTTCACCTTGTTTATCTTTAAATGTGGTTTCAGCTATTTGTTTTTTTCCCCCCTAAAAAGTTAGAATGCAAAACGATGATTGAAAAAGTGTTTTGAAATAATGTTTCTGGGTCAAGAGAAATGCATGTTTATTTATTGCCAGATCATTACGTGTTAAGGGGAAAAATTTTTTAGGGTTAACTTAGTGTCATACAGATAAGTGTGTTAGATACAAGAAGGTTTTGTTATCTTTGTATTTTTGCCACGGTGGCTCACTTGATGCTTGAAAGTGAAATCGTTTTATTTTGTCTTCGGCTGATAAGCGCCGTGACCGTGGAGTTGTAGCTTTGTGACCGGTTTCCTAGTAATTCCAGGAATACCAGTTCACAGATAGTTGGTGAAGGGAAGGTCATTCAACTGTAATAAAAAAGGTAAATCATTTAATATACAAATGTATGTAAACCCCCCCAAAAATGCATCAATAAGGAAAAACACATCCATTATAAAGACTTATGCCATCTAGTGGTTACATTTATATATAACAGTGGTTTTCAAACTCTTTATAGCCAATAAACCACAAATATGATCCCCTTAAGATGATTAAAAATTATAATATGATTGTTTAATATATTTTAAAATGCAGTTTATTCCTGTGATGGCAAGGCTAAATTTTCAGCAGCAATGATCCTTAAGAAAATATTCTAATATGTAGATCTGGTCCTCGGTTATTATAATTATTGGTACATATAAGCTATCTATAACTAACTTCTGTTGACTTTATTGGGGGTAAAAAAACAACATGGTCAGACAGAGTACAACAATTTTATTATTTATTCCAATAACTAATAAACACCTGGATTGTAAGAAAAGTCCAGAACTTGAAATAGTCTTAAATGAATGATGTGATGTGGAACAATCACATAGATTTTGGACAAGTAGACAAAGAGTCAACTTAATTTGTTTGAGAATCATATTTTTCAGAAGAAACTACGGGGACAGAAATAATGGCTAAAACAAATATTTCATATAGAAAATTGCCAATTTGCATGTACAGTTGCTTTCTTCTAATACAGTATAAATAGTACATTCCACTAATTGTTAAGAGCCACTCAAAGTCATGTGGCTCACACACAACACTGCCAGTGATTTCGGCTCTATCTGTCCCATACAAAAACCGAAGACAGAAAAATGGATCTTGAAGAGATTTCAGGTAAACACAAGGACACCAAGAAAAGGAACTTGGCTACATATTGAAGCAGATCAGCCACACGGTCCTTGAATTCTTCATATCAACCTCACGCCGGGTAAACAGACGGTGCTACCTTGCCTATTAAAGAAGCTTCTGCACTAACAAGTTTTCAGTTTGAGTTGTGCTTTTAGCAGAAAGTGAAATGAGAGCAAGTTCCCTGAGAGGATAACATATGTTAACAAGCAGGATGGAAGGGAAAACCTCACACAGTCGTGCCTGTGAATCACAGATGACAACGCTGTATGCGTTATTTCTCTCAACAAGGTTTGCCTCTTACAAAACCTTTGTTCTTTCAATTCACATCATTTTCAAATCAGATTACAGACTTGTTTTTTTGTGCCATCCATGAAGATTTGGAAAAAAGTAATCATGCAAATATGCATGGCATGAGCACATATTTCATAACAGCGATTACAATTTAAAGAACATGATTATGTGGTATGCATGTCATTCATGATGCCTAAGAATACCTATATAATTTGTAATAATGGCAAAAATCAATCACATATTGATGTGACATGAACATGACTTCATATACATAAAGCCCCTTAAATAAAACAAGCAAGCTCTTACAGCCACATTGGTACATTTCAGGAGCACAAAGTGTATCAGTAACATGGTGGAATCCTGCATATAATACTGAGATGAGATGGTTTCAAACGGACAGATTTATCTGTTGGACAATCTGATGTACATAAAACACAAACAAACATCAATGTCACACAGTGTTCTCCAACTGGCCACTTTACACTGAATCAATACTGGGATGCACAACACTAAAAGGAACATAATGGCACATTCTTATTGGTGGATCACAATTAGACCTCTAACCAGTCACGTGACCTACTGGAAGCACAGCGTTAGGGTAAATCATTTAGTGTGATTTGCAAAAAAACAAAAAAAGCAAAGCACACAGCAGCGTTTTGGTTGGTTCAAGGACAGCATCATTCAAATTGTTCTATGCTTGTTCTGAAAAAACAAACACGTTTAGATGACAACTATACAGGCTCAATCAATCAATCAAATAACTTTTACCAAGAAACAGTTGAAAAAAAGTATTTAAATATTTTATAAAAACAGATACGGCAGTGCAAACATGAGGAGAAGGCAAACTCTTCGGTGGATCAGTAGTTTGCCTTTCTTTTTTGTGTAAAAAAAAAAAAAAAAAGACTGAAATCGAAATGTGGAAATCGAAGATGTATTACATAGAAGGTGTGCATTGCCTTAGTCTTAAAGACGGGCATCTCATCTGAAAAAAAAAGACTGAAATCGAAATTTGGAAATCGAAGATGTATTACATAGAAGGTGTGCATTGCCTTAGTCTTAAAGACGGGCATCTCATCTGAATGAACTAGTGGTTTTAATTTAACTATGAAAAAGTTGTATGGAAACGGACTATTCAGCACCCTAAAATCACAACAGACTAAATGGCCCGAATAATGGTGTTATTTTTCCTTAATAGCAATGATAAAGAAAGGTTTATGAGTAAGTAATGGACGTGACGATCTGGGTACATTCTTTGAGGAAATGCCGTTGATGATTAATGTGCAGATTAGACTCCGAAAGTCTATTAAAAATAAAAGTGTTATATATACCAATATGCTGAAATGACTGACCATTAACTGTGGACAGTAATAAACAAATCAAATATTTGTGAGGAAATTAAATTCCTCAGGTAAATTATATATATATATATATTTAAAAAAAAACAAAGGGAATTTCGTTTCAGATGGTTTAGGATAAAAAAAGAAAAATACATAGTTGGAAATCAGTACTATAGCTGTTGAGTTTTACATATGAAACCAAATATTAACAAACAAGTTACAATACAATAATTCTAATAGTAATCAAATGTAGGTAACAATGATCTTAGGCTCACAAAAGGCTGCTACAAAATGATCACGCAGTCCTGCCTCTGCTGGTCCTCTGGTGTCTGCGATTGCCTGGCACTGAGCTAAGCACTGGAGCCACTGAGATAAGGAGCTATCACCCATGGGTCATTCTGAGGTCACCATGGAAACCCTAATTTCCCAAGAGCACAGAGGGATCTGGAATTAAATTAGCAAGAGGTTTGTTACTAGATATCATGTCAGTTATAGGACTATGGACCCTTTTTACAG